GCCAGTGTCACGTCTCGCCACAATTCATGGAGGGTTACACTGGGGTCTCCATCCTCAATATGCTTTGTCAGGACTTGTATATCTCTCATGCCATGCACCAGGGTCAGCACCCCCATCCCAAAAAAGTCATCCCTGATATTTATGACTCGACATCAAGCGTCCTGCAGGGCCATGATTCCCAATGTCAGGGAATGCTTTGCAGCAGTGCTTAAAGAAACAAATTGCAGGCACAGTGACATTATTAATCTGGACACGCTGGCACGAGCTAATACATCTCTGCCTGCTGTTTGATGTATTGGAATAAGCAGAGCACAGAGATGGACTTTCTCATTGGCATCTTGTTTGATGAATAAAACATCAGTGCGGGCTGGGACAGAATAGAATTTTTGAATACAAGAGCAGAAATGGTTATGGATCACAGGACTTATTACAATCTGTGACCCTCTGCAGAAAATGTTTTAAAGACAGTCAGCGAGTTTTAGGCCACGTCCTGCATACTTTACAGTCTCAGTGGTGTAATTGTTTGACGAGTCCTAATAGTCAGTGATTATACTGTAGACTGTAAATAAACTCTTGTCTATAAGAGTACAGTCCATCTTTCCTCTGATCATAATCATATGCCAGTGAAGTGCAGAAAAAAGGGCACAAAGTCAGTGTCTGTGTTTGGAGACGCTTCCCAAGTGATAAACCATGACACAGTCTGATGCAAACAGCTCTACATGCAGTGCCAGACTTCCTCGCCATGCTTATTATAAATTATGTTTGCACATGGAAGAGCAGGATGCTAGTGTGTCCAGCAGTGAACCGATGAGGCTGTGTGGTGCCACTGCTGCATTACGAAGAGTCGGCCAGTCACCACAAATGACACTTCCTCTGTGAAATCGCTAACTGCATCCAGACAACAGCAGTTAGTTTCAGTTGTAAGAGTGAATACAAAGCTTCCGAGAAATTACCTCCGTAGGAGCCATTTACCTATACAAACCATTTATTTTCTGTGAAAAATGTCTCAGCTTTGATTTCACCCTGGTAGTTGGTAGTGGTGAGACTGTATTGCCTTGCTCATCTATCCTTGTGATAAACTAGGCTGTCACCGGCCCGGCGCAGCTTCATGCAAGCTCAACAACTGGACTCGTGTTTAAGTTGGCCTTTTGAGAAATACTGACTTGATGTGTCTATTGAGTTGTTTTAAACAGGCAGCAAGTGGTGTTTCATTTCATTGCAATCAGCATAAACATATGAATAATCCATGAGGTGAAATGTATCTAAAATGCCTCAATGATTATATTCATGTTGTGCTTTTTCCTCTGGAGCCGGGCAACATGATCACCCGTGGCCACTTTATTAGGTACACCTCTGCAATTTAATACAATCCAATGCAACAGGTTTTGTTGACATTGTGTAAGAATTGTGTAAAATCAAAAATGTTTATTATTGAGGTCATTCTTAAAATGGTGTTGTATTGGATCATATAGAGAGCTTTTTTTTTTGTTTTTGAACTCCTGCTGCCCCTAGTCCCCCCACCCCCTAAAAAGTTTAATTTAATTTAATTTAATTAATTTAACTTAACTTAACTTAACTTAACTTAACTTAACTTAACTCAATTTAATTTAATTTAATTCAATTTAATTTATTTGACTTTAATTTAATTTGTATTTATCTAATTTAATTTAATTTTATTTTATTTCAAATGTATTATATTTATTACAAACAAGAACAAAAACTAATGAGAAATCAACACAAATAACCAACTGAGCTAGCAAACTATAATAATAAAAAACAAACAATAAAAGAATACGGTGAATGCAAATGTGCAAATTTCATCTTCTTTTTTTTCTTTTTTTGTACTGTTTTCCACATAAACTCTCTTATGTGTAGTTATTTTTGATTAATAATAATGATAATAACAATAATAATGATAATAATAATGATAATGTAACAAAAAATGAAGAGGGGTCAGGGGGTCTATTATGGTGTCTCCCTGGGGCAGCCACCTATGTTGCCTATGGGAAGATCCACCCTTGTGTAAAAACACCTCTTAGTATAATGCAGTGCAACACCACCAATGCTAACACATAACTGTGACCAAAAAAAGAAAAGAAAAGAAAAAGAGCAGCCATCATAACTTTATGACACAACAATAGCATTGGACTGTGTTACATTGTACTGGTGTACCTAATAAAGCGGCCACTGGCTGTACGCTGTAGCGCATAGAGTGATAAAAAGCACAAGATTAAAGCCTCATTACACACACAGACACTGAGCCATCACAAAGCCCCTCTCTCTGACTACAAACTGTCCTTTTGTCAGTGATAAAGCCTGCAGAATGCTTCATAGATTTACCTTCTTTCTGCAAAATGTTCTTGGCTCAGAAAATAAAAAGGCTAATTCATGAGTCCTTATTTCCCCCTCTCTGTTCTGTAAATTACAGACAACCAGTCTGACTCAATTATGGCTGCTGAGGGAGACGGCTTTACAGTAAAAATGTGGGGTCAAATGCTGAACAGATTACCTTTAAATGAGCTTATCCGCCATATGCACCTGACAAAAAGAGCCCGAGGAGATCCATGTGTCAGATGTTAATAATAAGAGAGTATTACCTGTGCAGGAAATGTTTAAATTCTACTCAACTTTTTTTGCGGGGAAGGAGGACAAACATCCACTTTTATTTTGAAATGATTGTTCCAACAACAGAGAAGGAGGCCGAGGGAAGCAGAGAGGAAGATCTGTGCCTCATCAAGAGTTCATTAAACATCACAGACATTGTCAGGAAAGTCGATGGCACTGATGGTCTACATTGAAACACTGATTGTAACGATATGCTGGGGCAACTTTTGGACAGCAGAGCGACACTAACCCCCTGAGGACCAGCAGAGGTCATTGGGTGGCATTGTGGGTTTGTGACTTGTAATTAAAGACCAATATTGAATCCAATCAGACTTTTATTTTCTCATTCCTGCTTTCAGGTGCATTAGTTGAATAGTGCTGTGCAGGCTGTTCAGTAATGGCCAACTCATAGGCTCATCTATCTTATTTAATCCTGAGAGAAAACACTGTGTTTACACTTTAGCTTCTATCTTGCTTATGTAAACATTATGTAAACACGCTTTTCTAAACTTCCTTTGCAGCAGCAGCTCACCTCAGTCACGGGGATGCATCGAAGACAGATTCAAACTGTTATTCAGTGTGCTGGATTCAAGCTGTCAAGCATGAAGGGTCGCTCTTGACCTTGGACATAGTTTGACAGCAATCCCAACTCATGGTCCACTTACCTGCTTTGCCCAGATCTGTAAACTTTATCACACAGTCTTTAATAGCGGATAGAGTTTGCTCAGTCCCGGAGATGGATCTGAAATCCTAATGTCAGCAGATCCGTCACCATGACAACTGAACCAAGTCCATCCGCAGATGAAGACAGTGTGACATGGCTAAAAGCTCCAGAAATGCTAGCAAGTATAATCGTGACCTAATATATCCATTATTTGACCAAAAATGGTGTTAACAGTATGGATCTGTTGTCTAAGTCAAATGTTTAGCTAAATCTAACATTGAAGCAGATTGGTAAAGTACTGAGAATATACAGTTTATAGTCTACTTTGTTGTCATAATGAAACAGGATAGAGCGTCAGATGATGTCAGCACAGTGTGAAGTTTTGCAACACCACAGACCCAATGACCCAAATGCAAGTCACAATTAGTATGAAGAAATACAGAGTGTGTGCTGGCGATGAAAACTGCAATTCATGGACCCTCCGTAATACCTCATTTGCGTCTAGCCCGAGTTTATGCCACTTATTGATCATCATTTTTCAAACAGCTCACCCTTTTGCACTGATGATTACATCAAATTTTACATTAAATGTTCCCTTTTTTATGAAATAATCCTAACTTTGAAACCCCTGCAGGTGTTCCGACAACGCTTAGCACTGTTTTACGGACATTTCCAGATTGCTTAGAGACAATTCCCTAGCATATGGATTAAAAATTGAAAAAAATAATAAAAAATTACATTGAAATTACCTGTAAAGAATATTTTTTATTAATATTATTAGATTATTAGAAAATTAGATTAAAATACATAGTTAATTTAAGTAGATTATCATGTGCCTTAAATGAATGAATGAATGAATGAATGAATAAATAAATAAATAAATAAATAAAGTTTTGATTTTATTGATGCTCCAACTAGACAAGCAGGTAGATGCGTCACTTCCGGCTGCGAAATTAGTTTGGCTAGTGTGGCAACTCCGAATCTTGTCAAAAATCTTCTTAATGTTTATCCAAATTAATAATTTTGTTTCAGCTTAATAGAAAACTATTTAAGGAATTGGGAAATGTCATAAAAACCGGGGTAAGTGTCGTCAAACGACTTGCTAGCTTCTCTTTAAACTTGTGTTCATGTTTGAGAGTTAGCTAACGTTCACGCTAGCTTAAATGGAACGTTGAGTCAATGCCAAACTCCCATATGGAAAACCGTTAATTAAGTGAGAGGCGCAAACTGACGCTTAACAGGCTAACAAAGGGGAAACTTGATAATTTAACGCAAAAAAGTACGTATTTAAAGTACGTATATGAGTACGTACGGATATGAATTGAAATAATAGATGTTACTCCTCATCAGGTGGGTTTCTCTACACCTGGGTTTCATTAATACAACATCAGGTCTTAAATAAGCAAAAACCGGATGAAATCTTGTACGGTGGTCTGCAAAAAACAGCAGTTGTTAGAAAGTGCTTTCTTTATTTTTAGCTCATTGTGTTGCTTATTTAATTCCTGAGGGCTGCTGAGACATCTGTGGCAGACATATCTATCCTCTCCTAAAAGCTTTAGGATTAAACGAGCTCATTTTCCTCGGGGGTGTGGATGGTTTTCTAATGTACAGAGCCATTCAGACCTCTCTGCTTTTGTTCAAACGGCTTAACTGTGTTTTGATAAGCCGCTGTGAATATCCATCAAGAAATCCGACCAGCCCACTGGATTGCCGAGCAGCGGACCGTTTCGCCTCTCCCCCTCCTCGCCCCTGCCTGCACTATATGTTACATTTCCAGCCCTCTCCTCTCGCTTTTTTACGCAAGCGGACGTCCACGGCACAGCGACACAAGTGCGCACTACAGGCAAGAGAGAACGAGGCACGGCAGGCGGACGGACGGCGGCGGCGGCGGGTACCGGAGCGACGACGCGGCGGTGTGTCTTTCTTTGTTGGACACCGGCGGACTGGATGGTGGATTTGTTTATTCTATGGATTTGGATCAGGGGCTAGGATAACTTCGCATGGGACAAAACCCGCCTTCTTTCATGTCATCCACCGATTTGTTTCGCCCGGCGTGTTGACGCCAGTGGAAAGGGGGGAAACGGAGGCTACCGGAGGAGCGCAATTGACAGAAAGGCGACATGAATATACACGCGTTTCCGTCCACCAGCTGTACAGGGTAGATGCAAACAAAACGGCTTTGCGATCTCAGATGTGCTTTCAGGAGCTTAGATTGCAGCAACGTGGGTCGGTTCACACGCAGACAAGGAAAAGATGCTCTGCTGCTGCTGCACGCTTGAGGTTTTGCACCGTAGGGCAGTGTGTTATTGACGATTTGCACGGCGTGGAATAATGCATCGAGACACAACTTTGTTCACAGGCCTGACAGACTGCGAGCCGTTTGATTATAAAATCTTTTAAAAGTGCATTTACGTGCTAGCCTGGCGTATGCTATAGTAATCCTGTTAGTCTTGAATATAGCTCAGTGCTTCAGTAAACGCCAGTGCCATTTATCTGTCAGCCCCGGAGCCCTGCACTGTTTTACGGTTCACATTTTAAACCCAAATCCTGCAGTCTATTGATGTCACTGATTGCGTTGTGTAGATAAAACCCCAAAGCTCTCCAGCTGTGTTGCCAAATGATTGGTAAATTGTTGATGTAGGCAGGCCTAACCTTCGCTTATGCAGATCCAATCGATAGCGAGATAAAGAAAGCTCTGGCAGGCTGTTTGTGCTACTCTGTAAGTGTCACGGGGGTGTGTTTTAAAATCCTATCTAGTTTTTACACATGCCCCACAGCAGCAGAGGAGCTGGTCGGTAGAGAGGGGAGACTGTCAAAACACTGTGTGGTGTCGGAGAAAAATACTGTAGAGCAGCGTCTCAAGCAAAGTTTCAATGGTTTTCCGAAAGTTGCCCGGTGTGTCGGCATCGGGCATGGGTCTGCGCCTGTCCCAGAAATTCGTGTTTCTGCTCTTTCTCTCGGGTTTGGTAACACTGTGTTTTGGGGCCCTTTTCTTTTTGCCCGACTCTGTGCGACTAAAACGCATTTTTCTGTCCAAGACAGAGACCCAGCCAGTCACTGTTGGCTCCGGGTCTGAGAACGATGCCAGGGAGCACTTAAAAAGACCCAAGGACCAGGAGCACCCGCGGGGCATGACCTCAGCCAAAGGAGAGACGAGCACCAAGCTGAAAAGTCTGAGTCGCAAACCGCCCGTCTCTCATGAGGCGACCGAGGAGCGGCTCGCCGGGGGGAAAGCGCAGGAGGACTTGACTCTGTCCAGGTCGAAACCGGAGTCCGCTTCGGCGAAATCGACCTCCGCTGACCACGGTGCCCACTCGGATACTTTCAGTTACAACAAGTTTAAGGAGTGTCTGCAGAAACCCCCGCTGGGGAGAGACAAAGGCAAGCCGAGCGATCCCCAAACCAACGAGCGCCGGGAGAAAGTTAAAGAGGTAAGGATGTGACAGTGACCTGCATCATAGGGGGGGGGATCATGGCTGTTTAATGTTCCTACAGGAATCTGGACAGCTGACACATAGTAGCCTCATGGGGTATGCAGAAATGCAATGATGATGTGGTTGTATTATGGGAAGTCACGATTGAGGCTAAGGAGAAAAACAGGAAGTTAGATACATTTGGGGGTGAATCCAGGACAGATGTTATCTGTGCAGTATTAATAAAGTCTAACCTATCACAATGATCAAATGATCACAGCCAATCAGGTGACTTCACTCAACTTTCTCCTCAAAATAAGCAGTTTTTATGTGTCTGTGGCTTCAAAGAGCAAATAAGTTTCAGTTGCAGGGTCTTTTGAATGGGAGCGTGTTCGTGCTGTCAAAACATTACAGGCAAACACAACGGATAAATAGCAGTCTGCCATATTATGATATAAAAAAAACAACAGCCATGCATGGTTGAAAGAAGTAATTATATTTCCATTGTTGAATTTGATTTGTCTGTATTTGTCTGACTATACAGACGATCTCTCTATAGAAGCAGCGGGACAGTTGTTTGCGAAGCTCCTGTCAAACAGACAAAATAAATCCCTCTCAATCATTTCAGTTGTCTAAATTTACCCAGTGTCTTTGCCTTTTTTGTGGATGACTTTCTGTTGGGTTTCTGTAGAAGAAGACGGCGAACAGTGTCACGACTTAAGATGAGTTTTGTGTGTTTGTAGCCGAGATTACAAGAAGTCTAATTTTGTGAGCAATCAGAAGAAATAACTTTTAATAATTTTAGCCCTGCAAAATAAATGTGAGCTGCACTTTCCTGAGCGGTATTGCATAATATTGTGGGTTTTTTTTTATATAACATAATTTGTTTGTGAAATAATCCTCTTAAAAACGGATTCTGATTATTTGCCTTTGTGTACATAATCATACGGATTATCAGATTGCCATATTTGTTTCATGTTATCTGTTAAACTGCTTTCCATCAGGTCATCCTGAAAGATAAAATGTCCCGTGTTTAGCTGTAGCACCTCTATCGCCCTCGCAAATGATGTTACATTGTGCAGTGACACTTTGGCCAGGAGCTCTTCAAGCTGTGTGCCAGCCGTTGTTGCGCCCTGTGGGTCCAATAAGGGCTCCAGAGTGGGAGCGTCTGTGCATCACACATCTGTACCCACTCAAGGCGAGTGAGGCTGGTGAGGAGGAGGGGGAGAGGGGAGAGTGCAGCGAGGGAAGCCATTGGCCAGCGTGTGCAGATGGGTTTCAGCCTTGGCATGTGACACGGATAAGTCGCGTTGTCACTCTCACTTCCAGCCTGCTGTCACCCTCTCACGCTGCTCACATGCCTTCCATACCTAGAGGTGATGTGCTACAAGATAACTGAGAGGGATATTTGCCCTCATGCACCGAGCTTTCACTGACTCATTCTCCTTTGATGCTCTTTCAAGTGAATGTCAATGTGACTTTGCTCACCGTTCAGTCTGTTCAGCTGAGCTCGGCAAAGTTCTTGCCTCGGGGTCATGTCGTATGAGAAAAAGTTATTTTCCACCACGCCCTCCTCTCCCAATTACTGATGCGGAATTGTAATTGCACTACCTCGAGTGAAGACCTTTATTAAGGCGTTGAGAAGCAGACAGGCCCTGCTTAGTTACATAGCATGTCCATAGCCTGGTGTGCGTTTTTGTGGTGTGCTATTGTTGTTGCTTCACTTTCCACTGTCTCAAGCCTGCTGGCAGCGTTCCAGATGGCTTCTCTTATTCCTGGAGGCTCACATTCATGCTGCCAGCACAGGCTGACACATTGCGAGCCTGTGCTTTGTCCAGGTTTTACAGATGTAAAACGAAGGAGTAACTGTAACATAAAAACTGACAATACTTACATGTTTTGATACTTTTTTTTTAGCTGTTTTGATAGATATTTCTGTGAAACATGAAATACAAAGAATTGGATTTGTGGTTGTCACTCCCAGCTTGTGATGTGGTGCACAGACAGAGAAGATCTCTAAAAGCAGTGCTTTTTTTTTTTTTACTGTAAAGGAATGCAGAGAGAGGGTATCCCCCTTCTAAAGCCAACAGAAAGGGTCCGGTCCAGCCCACTGAGTGCCTCAATGCCCAAACTGTGAATGGGCATCGTTTTTCTCGACTGCCAACAACTAGAAAGCAGACTCCCTACGTTCTTTCAGTGTGTGTGCATCCACTGCCAAGTGAGGGTGAAACGGAGGACAATGACAGTCTGATCACACAAGGCAAATATTTGAGGGCAGCCCACCACTAGTGAGGCCCCCCAGGATACCAGCGAATACTGCCAGAATCGCCAAGGTGCTGTTTACCTCGCTGCTAGCAGATAGTTCATTCTCCTCCAGAAGTCCTCAGCTGGATGAAGATAAGAGTAATTTTCAGACGGCCTCCTATTTGCAATGCTGTGATGTCATGGCTCACTGTGTCGCTGCCTCATTGGCTCCCACACAAGAGGCTGGACAGCAGGGGCCGCATCACAAAAAACGTGTGCCTGGAGCAACAGGAGGGGGTGTCTATTTCTGCATGCACATTTTGTTGCTGATGTCCTTTTACATTCACTAAGGTTAGAACTTGGCGTACGACAATAAAATACTGGACGCAGAGCTCAGAAGTAGCACATCTAAACAAACACAGAGCAAAAAAGGGACGTCAGAAAATGAAGAGAGGTCTGTGCCAGTCGAAGACGTAAACCTCCATATCTCTCTCCTCTGTTGGTGTCCACAACATCACATGCATCAAAAGAGAAGTGTGCATTAAAAGGCGGTCTCTATAAAGCCTGAGATTTGCTCTTTCCCTCATACGCTGAATTTTTTAAGAGATATGCAGGTGTTGCCAAATGACAGCCTTTGCGTGAGGAAATTGGAATACATTGTACAGTATATTGTGGCCTCTAACATATAATGCATTTACATGGTGAGAAGGTAGCGCATGCAGGAGATAAAACTGACAGCTGAGAGTGCTGCAGTGAGAGGACAGACACACTGCAGCCTCTCGTGGCAGAGCCTCCTCCAGTGGAGCAATACAGGTCTTCAGGGCGTCTTTGTCCCGTGTGTCTCTGTTAACTGTGTGTGTGCATTTGATAGCTTATCTATATGATCAGGTGCTCGGGGATGAATTTTTGAGTTTGACAGTTTCAGTTGGAAGGGCTGTCACTGTGTTTATCCATCCAGTACTGAAGCCCACCTGCATCTCTGTGTAGACAAACAACCAAATGGGGTACATCTGTTCTGTTTTTAAAGTAATTCTATTTAATGGTCAGCTGGATTTGTTTGTGCGCGTGTGAATAATCCACAATAATAAGCAGTATCTTAGATACATGGAAACCCCCTGTGGTCTTTGAAAAAACAAAATCGAAACAGAGGCTTTAGAAGCACAAAACAGTTTAATGCACAATGTTTGTAAAACTGTAACAAAGCCGCCAAAAGTGTTTGGTTAAATCAGTTTGTTAGTTCGCTTTCCTGATAGACTAGCAACATACATCATCTGCTAAATTAATGCTTTAGCTCACCGGTTCTCAACCTTTTTTCTGTGTTAAGTCCCCTAAACTGCTACACAATAAGTCACAGACCACCATTTGATAAGATTTTGCTTCAGGGGCCAAATTTGGTTGTTAGATGCTATTAAGACCAGAATACTATAGTTAGTAACTACAGTTGAAGAGATAACCACAGAGGAAGTAAAACCCTTGATCAGAATATCCACTCATGACTCATACTCACATTTGGTTCGCTTCTATAGTGAATTAACTAGTAAAAATAAACTCTTCTCCATTTTCAGGGGACCCCCTGGAACTCCCTGAAGGACTCATGATTGAGAACCACTGTTTTAGCTAAGTAAACAACAGAAGGGAAATGTCATCATAATTTACTTAGAAGGTGGCATGTTTAAACACAATACATGAAAAATTCCCAGGTTGTAAGGATTTTTTTCCCAGTTTTAGTTTTGAGTTGTTAGCTACCAAAAAGGGAACTCAACAGTATGATCTTAAATTGATTGAAAACAATTTATTGTTCAAGAAGACGAGGAAATCTGTGTTTTTGGTGGGGTATTTCTGACTAGGCCAATTCACTGAGGAGGTCAGGTTCAGCTAAAAACAGCAACTACAGAGCAAATCTTATCCAGTTAAAAGCCACTGTGTTATACATTTAGATGTTTGATAAAAATACAGTGAAGTGACAAGTTTTAAATTCTGTCTGTTTTTGAGACATATGTATATGGCTTTTAGACGAAAGTAAATCTTTGCAAAACAGCCGAATGGCAAATTTTCTGTTCATGAGCCAGATCAGAGAAACAAAGTCTCTACCTTTCTGGTGTCCCCCATTGGACCTTATTTCAAAGAAAATACATATGGTAGTCAAGCGCGAGAGACAAATACTTTTTTGATCCCATTTGAATTGTGTCCTGAATTACACATACATTGCTTTTCTATTTAAAAGATAATTTTACAAGGTAAGAAAGTCACACTTTGTCATAGGTTTGTCATAGTACCATTTAGTTTTGTGTGAAAACGCTTAGTGAAGTGCGTCTTATGTCTTGCACAATATATGTCACCAAAGCCAGCTAGCTACCCAGGTATCTTAGCTGTACCTGTTATCTCACCTGATGTATTTAATTCAGTGACTCCTGGTCTTTTTATTGGCTGAGAAGTGGTCGAATTGTGTGTCTATCTCGATACAAAACACACAGGCATTGTAGCTTCAGCTGAACTGAAAGTTACGTTTCAAAGTATGTCACTTATGTGATTTGAGTAGTCTGTCTAATAAAGTAGTTTCACAGTCTTACTCTTCAACAGTTTTACAAACATCATATGTGTAATTCATGTAATTCATCCATATTTTTTCTGAAATAAGGACCCATGGTGGTCCACCAGAAGTGGAGGGAATTTGTCTCTTTACGAAAAGTAGAGTGCCATGTAAAGTACTCCTTTCACAGTGTCCAAGGAGTATCTCCAAAGCCTGCTAACACATGCAAACATCTGGCTTTTTA